AAAGACTGTACTTCCCTCCAGTAGTACGTTTGGGCAGTTGATGCCTTTACCTAAGCTGTCTTCCCTCCAGTAGTAGTTGGCAGTTGATGCCTTTAACTAAGATGTCTTCCCTCCAGTAGTAGTTGGCAGTTGATGCCTTTACCTAAGCTGTCTTCCCTCCAGTAGTAGTTGGCAGTTGATGCTTTTAACCAAGCAGTCTTCCCTCCAATTTATCATTTCAAAATTAGGGATAGCTACTTGTATACTTTGATAGGGTACCGATTTGTATAAAGCCCACTGCATGTGACATATTTTAATATGTAACAGAAGATGTTTTTGGAATATGTTTCATAGAGACGGTTTCCAATTGTAATTTTCTTTCTTTGTCGGTTTTGTTTCAGGAATGGTCTCATTTATACCATGCCATCAGATCAGAATCTCCATCCTCTTCGTACTTCCCTTAACACTGGTGCCCACAGCAACAAGATGGAGGTAGTCATGACGACCGGTGGAGTTGCCCGAGTACCATCTCCGGATAGCGCCTGCGAACAAGATTGGACACCAACAGGAATTGTACAAGGTTCTAAAAATAGAACCACCAGCGTTCCCACCACCTCAACTTTATCTGGAGAGAAGCAAGTACCTGGTGTACAACGAAACGGAGATAAACCAGAGCATAATGGAGGTACGATGATTTTGAACCGTGACAACGTTCGTTCTGCTACCATTCACAGATCGCTAGAGATGATTACATTCAGTTCATGTTGATATTTTGAAAGGTTAAAAAGCGGACATTCTAATAGTAGCCAGCTAATTGTACTCAGTTATCTCACACGTTTTTGTTTTTTTTTTGTTGTTTTTTTTTACGTTTTAGCTACGTCAACCTTTAACCCATCATCTTATCTAACCATGATGCCTGTATTTTGTTTCTACGTCGCAAAGTTTTACCTTTACATATAGATTATTTCATGACTATTACCAATATTCCATGTCGATAATACAGCTCAGTAATGTTGTTGTTTTCATGACTATTACCAATATTCCATGTCGATAATACAGCTCAGTAATGTTGTTGTTTTCATGACTAATACCAATATTCCATGTCGATAATACAGCTCAGTAATGTTGTTGTTTTCACGACTATTACCAATATTACATGTCGATAATACAGCTCAGTAATGTTGTTGTTTTCATGACTATTACCAACATTCCATGTCGATAATACAGCTCAGTAATGTTGTTGTTTTCATGACTATTACCAACATTCCATGTCGATAATACAGCTCAGTAATGTTGTTGTTTTCATGACTATTACCAATATTCCATGTCGATAGTACAGCTCAGTAATGTTGTTGTTTTTTGTTGTTGTTTTCAGCTTATTCTGACTCTCACGGTAATTACTTTCCGCTGTTGTGTGAACTGAACGAAGTGTTAACTAATATTCAGTGACGATAATTTCTGTGTGTTGTGTGAACTGAGCAAGGTGTTAACTAATATTCAGTGACGATAATTTCTGTGTGTTGTGTGAACTGAGCAAAGTGTTAACTAATATTCAGTGACGATAATTTCTGTGTTGTGTGAACTGAGCAGTGTTAACTAATATTCAGTGACGATAATTTCTGTGAGTTGTGTTTGTTTGTTTTTAATTATGCGCAAACCTACACAAGGGCTATCTGTGCTCTGCCCACCACGGGTATCGAAACCCGGTTTCTAGCGTTGTAAGTCCGCAGACATACCGCTGTGCCACTGGGGGCCTGTGAGTTGTGTGAACTGAGCAAAGTGTTAACTAATATTCAGTGACAATAATTTATGTGTGTCGTGTAAACTGAGCAAAGTGTTAACTAATATTCAGTGACAATAATTTATGTGTGTCGTGTAAACTGAGCAAAGTGTTAACTAATATTCAGTGACAATAATTTATGTGAGTTGTGTAAACTGAGCAAAGTGTTGACTAATATTCAGTGACAATAATTTCTGTGTGTAGTGTGAACTGAGCAAAGTGTTGACTAATATTCAGTGACAATAATTTCTGTGTGTAGTGTGAACTGAGCAAAGTGTTGACTAATATCAGTGACAATAATTTCTGTGTGTTGTGTGAACTGAACAAAGTGTTAACTAATATTCAGTGACAATAATTTCTGTGTGTTGTGTGAACTGAACAAAGTGTTAACTAATATTCAGTGACAATAATTTCTGTGTGAACTAACTAAAGGGTGACTATAACTAAGTGACAATAATTTCTGTGTGAACTAACTAAAGGGTGACTATAACTAAGTGACAATAATTTCTGTGTGAACTAACTAAAGGGTGACTATAACTAAGTGACAATAATTTCTGTGTGAACTAACTAAAGGGTGACAATAACTAAGTGACAATAATTTCTGTGTGAACTAACTAAAGGGTGACTATAACTAAGTGACAATAATTTCTGTGTGAACTAACTAAAGGGTGACTATAACTAAGTGACAATAATTTCTGTGTGAACTAACTAAATGGTCA